CTCTCTCTCTCTCTCTCTGTCTGTCTCGGCAGAAGGATGTTCCCGACCTGCAGAGTGTCGTTCAACGGATTGAAGCCAGACAGTCGATACGCGGTGTTGATGGACATCGTCCCCGTGGATAACAAGAGGTATCGATACGCGTATCACCGAAGCTCCTGGCTGGTAGCGGGTAAGGCCGATCCACCGGCACCGGCCCGCCTCTACGTTCATCCCGATTCCCCGTTCACGGGGGAACAGCTTCGAAAACAGGTGGTCTCGTTCGAGAAGGTCAAGTTGACCAACAACGACATGGACAGGCACGGGCACGTGAGTATCTGGTGATGGTAGTGGTGGTAGTAGTGGTGGTGGTGGTGGTGGTGGTGGTAGTGGTAGTAGTAGTAGTAGTAGTTGGACCGATAACGTTAATCCGCGCGTCGAGCGCGATACACGCGCGCGCGCGCGCGTTGTGTGTGTGTATGTGTGTGTCAAATGTTCCGTTCGCAGTTGGTGTTGAACTCGATGCACAAGTATCAGCCGAGAATCCACCTGGTGAAACGACCGGACTCGGGCACGGCCAAACCTATAACGGACCTCGAGAAGGAACCTCACAAGACCTTCATATTCCCAGAGGCGATATTCACCGCTGTCACCGCCTATCAGAATCAACTCGTAAGCGTCTCTTCTCCTTTTTCTTCTTTTTCTTCTTTCGTTATTCCCCCGATAATTTCCGACGCGCAACGTTCCTCCGACTTTGGATTCCTTCTCCTCCTCCTCCTCCTCCTCCTCCTCCTCTTTGGTTGTGGAGCGCACGCGCGCGCAATCGTATTTTACGATAGTCGTTTAGCAGCGACCGCCCGGTGTGTGGTCTCGGTACTCGCGCGGTCGTTCGCATTCCACGGGCGTCGCGATGCCCCGACATTTTCCACTTTGGTGTCTCCGTTTCGCGCTCGAAAAAGGGAAAAAGAAAGAGAGAGGGAGAGGGAGAACCGTTTCGACGATGATGAGGTGCGAAGAGACAATCCGTGGCAATTATCTCTTTGTCCTCTTGTCGCGATAGAAAATAATAAGAATACGAAGCGACAACGATGATGGTGGTGGTGGTGGTGGCGGTGGTCGTCGATCGTCGAATCGAGAGGTGAAATTCATTCGTCCCGGTTGGCGATCGGTCGGTAGCGGCTCATCGTTGTCGCGTTGTCTTCTCTCTCTCTCTCTTTCTCTGTCTTTCGTCTTATTCTTCGCTCGCGTCTCTCAGCGGTGGGGTAGCAGCAGGCTCGTTTAGCAGGGACCAAAGTTTTTTTCCCCATACCAGGCCACTTCCCGTGTACGGAACGGGACGAAGACGACGACGACGACGTATCATCGTTGCGGACGGTTTTTGTCCTCTCGCCGGCTCCCTCTCCTCCCTTCGCCTCGTACCATCGTAACGACCTCCTAACACCGTCTCGATTCCTCTTTCTCGCTCGCACGCGTCATAATTCATAACCTAACTGCCGTTCTTCTTCCCTCTGGCCACTCTCTGCTTCTTCTCTCTCTCTCTCTCTCTCTTCCATGTGTGTATATATATATATATGTGTGTACATATATACATATCTCTTTCGAGCCTTTCCCCGATTTCACGGCCAATAGAATTATCGACCGTGCGAGATAACGATCTGACGCGAGAAAGAGAGCGACTAATTTCGATCTCGCGACATCTCGTTCGAGAACGGAACGAAACGAAACGGAAGAGAAAGGGAGAAACGATTGGAAGTGTGCCAAGAGGCGCGCGATTTTCGGGACGGATGATCGAAAACTTCGACGACGTGTCTCTCTCGAACAATCCCCCGTCTTTGCGCTTCCCGCTAATTATTCGATCCTCGTGGACATCCACGCGAAAGGAGGAAAAAACGAAAGTGAAGCGGGTGCAAAAGCAGAAGCGTGTGGAAGCAGCGAAGGAGGAGGAGGAGAAGGAGGAAGAAGAAGAAGAAGAAGAAGAAGAAGAAGAAGCAGTGGATGGTTTTAGTGGCTGCAGGCGTCGGCGTCGGCATGCACGAACGAAAGAAAACATAAATAATCGTGTTCGAATGAGACGAGAGGAGGCGAGACAGAGAGCGAAGAAGAAGGAGGAGGAGGGAGTTCTCTCTTTCTTTCTCTCTCTGGAAACCACACACGGCGGCCGTACCGCGTTGGCGGCTGGTCGCCAGGCATAATAACGCACTCGCGCCCGATGCTCCTCGAACGGGCGACGTTTCGTTTCGTTTCGTTCCGTTTCGCGACCACGACCGCGCAAAGGGGGGCTCGTCCCGTGACAGCTTGGAACCGAGGCCTAAATAACGAGAGAAAGAAAGAGAGAGAGAGAGAAAGAGAACCACCCTTTCTTCGATGAGCGCGCTACCGTCTCTATTAAATCTATTATTAGTAGAAGCGGGGCCGGGTATATATCCCTCTTTCGATTACGGCTTCATTTTCATTTCGGAAGGGCACCGAGTGACGGAGGGAGGGAGGGAGGACGATAATCGCGCGCGTCGCGAATTCTCTCGAGATCTCGGCTCGCAATTTTCATCGCCGCTCTACAGCTGGACGTAATTGGCTCGGCTCCTCGTTCCTCGAAACGTGGTCGCGGCGACGACGCGACTTTGTCCCCGCGTATCGACGCGTATCCGATTCGCCAAGGCCGACGACCTTGCCCCGCCAAAAAAATCCCCGCCATTTTTTTCCCCCTTTCCCTCTCCCTCCCTCCTTCAATCGTCCACCGTGAAAATCGTCTTCAATTCGATTCCCTCTCGCGTACGTGGGGGACAGAACAGAACAGGACAGGAAAGGAAAATCGAGGCGAGATAAGTTTAGCCGTCGTCGACTCGCGAATTAATAATCGAGGCGACGTGGGACGCGTGGCGAGAAGCATCAAAGAGGAAAAGTCTGGGGAGGGGGGAGGGAAAGGAGGAGGGGTCGATTTCAAAAGAGAGAGAGACAGAGAAGTCGCGATCGTAAAACGAATAGGGCCGGCGAGGGGAAGCAAGCGAGCGAGCGAGCGAGCAAGTAAGCAAGCAAGTAAGTAGCTAGACGACGAGAAGGACGACGGTGACGGCGGCGGAGGTGGGCCAGATGTTTGGCTAATGATGTCAGCGGAATCGTAACTAAAACCGAGCCAGCTCCGGGCTTAGCGCGGCTTAGCCTCGGCTTTGAACGAAGAGTCTTATTACCAGGCTGCACGTGCTGCTCCTGAGCGCGAAACCGTAGGGTAATTGGACCACCCACTCGACATCCACACTCTCTCTCTCTCTCTCTCTCTCTCTCTCTCTCTCTCTCTCTCTCTCTCTCTCCTCTCTCTCTCTCTCT